TTATTATCAAGGTTGAAAACTGTTGTGCTGCTTAATATTATTGTGGAAATTATATAGAACATAGAACAGCATATAGAACAGCATTTATTTGAATTAGATGTGATCAATTTAATGTAATGCTAAATAAAAGTATTGCATGCATATTTATTACATATACATATACATGTTATTGTTTATGATACAAGATTTACACTTTTTTGTGAAGAATCCACCATCATGCCTTCCTTGTCAAACTCCAAAGGCTGTTATAGAAATTTTATTGGACTGCGTTGTTCTGATGTAAATAGACCATGTTTTTATTCAGAGGTGTGTTTAAAGGAGACATATTATGCCCCTTTTTACAATATGTAATATAAGTCTCTGGTGTCCCCAGAATGTGTCTGTGAAATTTCAGGTCAAAATACTCCACAGATCATTTATTATATCATTTTGAAAATGCCTATTTTGAGTGGAAGCAGAAACACGCAGTTTTTTCGGGCATGTCTCTTTAAATGCAAATTAGCTGCTGCTCCCAGCCCCCTTTTCCAAAATAGAGCTGCGCCATTACAGCTCGTACCTCCTAAAAAAACATCTGTTTTGGTTCTGATTATCATGTTTATCGCACTGAAATCATGCGTTTTAAACCATATGAGTTTAAACTTCAGATATAAGGTTTTCTGAGCGCACACATCTGAAGCACACGGACAGAAAGCGGCTGTCACAGCATGTGAGTACTAAACTAAGTTCTCATTCACACACAAGTTTACGTTAAAAACACACGAGTTACAAAAGCAGTCGGTTATGTCTGTGAAGGTAAACAGCTGTGAAATGAATCATATGTTTATTTTAGATATGTGTAGCAGCAGCAATATACAGTAAATAAATAATAAATCCACTGCTCTCTTGTCTCCTCTGAGGCTGGGACTCTAAATAGTGTTCTGTGCTCGTCTGTGCAGCCAAAGACAGAACAGTTAGCATGTTTTGCTCAAACTTTCGCCATGGCATTAGAACTGGTACACTGTTGTCGCTTGTGAAAACACAACAACGGCGCTGTGGGTGTAAACTTACAGATTAAGGGGCGGTAATATTATAATGAGATCCCTTTGCCACGTCACCAAGGGAGCGAAATCAGACGCGCTCGTTTTCTCAGACGCTTGCAGAAAAAGGCTTACCAAAACAAAGTGATTGGGTTAATCTTTTTCACGTTTCCTTGGTTGGTAGATGCACCGGGGACCTGATTATAGCACTTAAAAACCTGGAAAAGTCCGATTTTCATGATATGTCACCTTTAAATATTGGGTAAATTAGTCATTAGGTGACATTTTGCTTGTATTATTATTAAATGTAATAACTTTGCATACAATATTGTATACATTTTACAATATTTTTTACTCTCTCTCTCTCTCTATCTATATATATTAAAATACATTTAATGAAAATGCATATAATTTTTTTAAAATATAAAACTTTTGTTTTTTTTAAACAGTGAATATGTAAAATAACTTAATTAAAAAATATATATAATTTAAAACAAATAGGGAACACATTGGGCGTAGTCATTAAACTTGTCATATTTAATGTTAATTGACAACATTTTTATTCTGACATACTGTATGTTTAACTGATATATTTTTACTTGAACGTATTTTGTGATTTTCAAATTTTTGTCTTGTATTAATCTTAAATGTTTTATATAGTTTTTTGTTAATTTTATGTCTCATTTACTTTGTTCTCTCGATGAAGCATATCCTTGCTTCTATTTAGTATAATATGAATGGCAAGAAACACTTTTCTTGCAATTCTTGCACTTTTCTAGTGTTAATAAACAGGAAGATTAATGGCTACATGTGCTAAGTACTAAAATTTGTCTTGTATTAATCTTAAATGTTTTATATAGTTTTTTGTTAATTTTATGTCTCATTTACTTTGCTTCTATTTAGTATAATATGAATGGCAAGAAACACTTTTCTTGCAATTCTTGCACTTTTCTAGTGTTAATAAACAGGAAGATTAATGGCTACATGTGCTAAGTACTAAAACACTAAAATACAAATAAAAAGAGGTGGTTAAAATGGCTAAAATTGCATTACCTTAGGCATCAATTCTTTGTTTGGGGTTCCCAAAGCTCCATATGCTAATGCAGATCCATTTGGAAGGATTTAAGTCTCTGAATGTTGCCTGAACAACTTTCAAATGCAACTAGTTTAATTACTGATTAGTTACACTGGCACAGGACTACATTTAAGCCTGCAGTGGGAAAGATAATGCAGTCCTGTTAGCAGTGGCCTCAAGAACACCTTTTATTTGCTGTAACATTCAGTGTGAAGATGCTCCCTAACTTTGATGCCGATGTATGATCCCATCAGTATTTTAACCCCCCTGAACAAAAATAGCTGTGATTTTGAAGGCCTTATATTTTTACTGCAAGACCGCAGTCTCCTCTGCCCCGTGCCGCATCGATTTTCTGCTCTGGAAACCTGCCGTTTCCTCTCTCAGGTGCAGCTGGGATCCCAAAGCTATGATATCTAGTGCTCACTACACAGCAGTATGAAGTATGAAGGCCAGCCGGAACGTAAATACGTGAGTCTGAGATGCTCACACAGTGAACAGTGCCCTGAACATTCAAACATATGAAATCCCAGCTAAAGTCCTCGAATAGGCAAATGAGAGATTGTATTTTGATAGTGGCCAGCTCTGGAATGGCTTAGTTCAGTCAGAGAGATGCTTGACTGCCCAAATTTCTCTCACTTTCCGACTATTTGGTAATTTCTATTCCGTGACTATTTGTATTATCGGTGTTGCTAAGCCTCTTAGTACAGAATGTGTAACACTCAGATATGAGCTGTGATACTTTGTTCTTTTCTATTTCAAGTACAGCACACATTTCATTCGATAGTTAAAGAGGGCTGAAATCAAGAATAGATTGCTTTGCTAGTATGTTATACATTGCTCCACATGCTGGCTTGCTGCATATATTTTAATCATTTGTGAACTGCAAAGTTGTTGTTGGTGAAACCTTAAAAATGCAAAGTGTCTATATGAAATAGATAAAATAAATAAATGTATAAATACGATAATAAAGTCATGTGAGTTAATAAATTAAATATTAATAATAATTTGTCATTTATTTATTTACTTAGGTTTGCTCCTTCATAGACTTAGAGCTATATAGCATATAACATTCATGGAGTTACTATTGTAACATTTCAGCATTTTTTTTCTCTTCATATGCTGGAGTGATTAACTATAATCATAATGGCAATACTGGGCTTTATTTAATGGAGATAACAACTAATAATAATCTCCACCAACCAATATTACACAGACAGCTAATTAAAACATAAATTTCCTGTTTCAGCAGAGCGCAGCATGCAGTGACAGCAGAGTAAGAATCATTTTAAACAAGGCAGATTAAACTATAGACCCTGAAATTCATCTAGCTTGTTTGTTATCGTCAGTGCATTTGTTACATTGTCATTAACTGGTGCCGTTATCTGTCATGTCAGTTTTTTTGGATGCAGCATTCTTCACATTAGTTAGTACAATGTGTGAAACATTGCAGTGAGCCTTTTCATGCAACACAAGAATGAATTTCTGTGTAAAATGTTTATAAAACCATTTTTACTTAAATTGTCACTTCTAATTGAATGTGATAGTTTATGCAAGAATGGGTTTATGTACAATTACAATGATATTCTGTTCCTGGTTTAATATATGAGGTGTTTTGTTGGTGTGGCTTTGTATTTATTTCCTTTTTTAATTGAAAGTCTTTGGGTCTTACCTACAGTGGAGATCAAAATTAGAGAACAATCTACAATTTCCTAAATTTCAAGGTCACTGCTTAGTCCTATTTGAACATATCCTAACAGGAGTAGAAGGGCAGTTTTTAAGAATATTTCTTAAATGAATTGTATTCTGAAGCAATTACAATGACACTAATTCAAGTCCCCCCAAAAGGCTGGTTGTCCACGTAAGACAAATGCAGAAGAGGACAGGATAATATGAAGTCTCACAATGGAGAATCGGTTCAAGACTGCTGTTGGAATTGCTTGCCAGTTCAACAATGAACAGGGTATGGATCTGTCTCGGCACGTTTAAGAGAAGATAACTGAAAGCACACTCTGCAGTGACCAAGCCTCTCATCAGCAGAAAGAATCAAAAGACTAGGCTCACCTTTGCTGAGGAGTCCTGATCTAAACCAGACTGAAAATCTCTGGAAAATCCTTGGTGACAAAGTTATGGCTAAGAAACCCACTACAGTTACCGAACTATGGAAGAGACAGGAAGAAGAGTGAACCAAGATCACACCAGCGCAGTGTGAGAAACTAGTGATGTCCTGTGGCCACAGATGTGATGAAATCATTCAAAGCAGGGGCCTTTTTGACAGCTTTAACTCTCCAAAATTTTTGTTGTAATCTTCTTTCATGCTACAGTGGTTACTATTCTCTAATTTTGATCATGGAGTTTTCCACAAAATAAAGTTTTTTGTTGAAATGCCAGTCAAACTTGTTAGTGGATCAGTGGTACCTACCTACAGCTAATATTCCTTCAAAGCTTTAGCGATGAAGATTAACAATATTTCAGAAAAATGCAAGTATTTATAGATTGTTGTCTAATTTTGACCTCCATAAATTTGACCTCTTATTTCAGTTAGTTGCTGAAGCAACATTTCTAATTTTTGTTTGGTTAAATATTTTAGTTTTTATCTAATATTTATGATTTATTCCATTTCAGCTTTATTACAATCATTAAAAACGTTTTAATAATTGGTTTTAGTTGAGAGTAATAACCCTGTTCTGTATGCAAAAAAAGGCTCTTGCACAAATATTTCTGTCGGATTCACAGACACATGCACACATACATTTGTTCATACCATCTTTCTAATGTTTATGAATACATATAATTTTAAATGAGATATGAGATGTGTGAATGCATGCTTAGTGAACGCGAGCCTGACTTTCACTGCAGTGAGTCATTGCAGCAGTCCCACTCAGCTCTCCTCTGTTCCTGTGTGCTTTCAGGTAGAGCCAGTCTGCATGGCAAAGCGTCTCTGCAGATCGACCATGTGCGCTCAGAAGACCAGGGCTGGTACGAGTGCAGGGTCCTCATGCTGGAACAACAATACGACACCTTTCACAATGGCAGCTGGGTTCACCTCACAGTCAACGGTGAGGCCCTCGCCACTCTCACCACACTAGTACTGTGAAAGACACACACACACATCTATCTATCTATCTATCTATCTATCTATCTATCTATCTATCTATCTATCTATCTATCTATCTATCTATCTATCTATCTATCTATCTATCTATCTATCTATCTATCTATCTATCT